TGTTTGCCTATATTCTTCATTCTTTGTAATTTGTCCTACTTTCCATTTACAACTCCTTTTTTATTTTTAGATCATGCAAGATCTCATGGTTAAGCCAATGCGGTCTTTTGCCATATTTTCTATCTTTCCTATGCAGTGGAATAGCTTGCTTTTGGCCCCTTAACAATGTCCCTTTGAAAAACTGCCAACTCTTCTCAGTTGTTATTCCCCTCAGTATTGATTCCCCTGGGACCTTACCTATCAGCTCTCTGAGCTTACCAAAATCCGCCTTCCCAAAATCCATTGTCTCTATTTTGCTGTTCTCCCTTCTACCCTTCCTTAGCATTGTAAACTCTATGATTTCATGATCACTTTCACTGGGACCTTACCTATCAGCTCTCTGAGCTTACCAAAATCCGCCTTCCCAAAATCCATTGTCTCTATTTTGCTGTTCTCCCTTCTACCCTTCCTTAGCATTGTAAACTCTATGATTTCATGATCACTTTCACACAAGCTGCATTCCACTTTCAAATTCTCAACCAGTTCCTCCCTATTTTTAGGATCAAATCTAAAACAGCTTTCCCCCAGTAGCTTGTTAAGTTAAATATGGGTTAAGTATGTGGAACCAAAAAAATAAAATTGTTGTGAATGTATGGCCAGTTAAATGAGGCTGGATAAACAAAAGGCTGCCTGTGCCAGGACAATGGGGTGTGCCTGGCATTTAATTTCTCATAAAATGGAAAGGGAGGGACCTGGAAGGAGGGACACATATACTGTACAATGACCAAAGGGGGGGCAGCTATGGACCAGAGACGAGGATAGCTATAATCCAATGGAACCAGTAGGGAATGAGGATGGAGAAAGGGTTAGCTATCTACTATACATTTCAGAGACGTTATCTGTTTGTGTTTCTGTATGTCTGTCTGTCCCCGAACCAGAGGACATGCCTTCTTGCCCTGGCTGTGCCATGCTTCTCACCTTGCCCCAAGCTGTTGTGGTGTAAGAAGCCTAGGGTTGTCTTCTCTCCCCAAGGCAGCCTGCATACTGAACCCCTCATCCCCATCCCTGTCCAATGATTTAAAAGAAGAAAAACAAAACTTATGTGAGTTAAGGACCTGAGCAACACCAGGTAAATCTTCCAGTCTCCACAGAGAATTTGTCTGTTAGTTTGTCCAAGAACTTCTCCCAAACAGTTAAAAGCTAGGATCACCACATTTGGTATATAGCTTCCTCCTAGCATAACTTAAAGCAACATAAATGTTTGGCTGTGTCAGGAAACTGGGATGTGCCTGGAATGGGACTGTTTCTCATAAAACCTCACAGAAAAGAAACAGAAGCCCCAGCAGGTGAAAGAGGCTGGTGGGAACATGCCCCCTCCCTTTGGGAATACCCTATCCCACAGCCACCCCACTCCCCCAGGCACCCTTTAGGGAGATGTGGAGATGAAGTCCCTCTCCCCCAGATTCCTAGGGGAACATTGCTGTCTTTTCCCCTTTATCAGAGAGCGAGGCCAAAGTGCACAGTTTGATGTATTCTCATTCTGGATCAGGAGCGCAGGGGACAGATTAGCAGCGCACTTTGCTCTTGCTCCCTGATAGGGCCAGGAAAGGGAAGATCAAACAGCTCCGGTACAAATCTTGAGGGAGGGGGCAGGATTCTGTCCCCCTGCACTTCCTCTCCACCTAGTTCCCTGCCCAGAGCCCGCCTCATCTCCCTACCCTGACTTCTACATCCCCAAATTCCCAGCCCTGAGCCCCTCCTTAAGGACCAGAGCAATGCTAGATAAATGTGCTAATATCGTATTTGTCAAGCATTTACAAAGTATTTCACAGTATGATCACTTCCAATATTGCATCCCAATACTTCCTCCATTGCATTACATAAAGTTATGTTTAGTTTAAAACACAAAAGAAAATGTTTTCCAAATACATTTAATTCTCAAGGGAATAATTATACGAAGTGTCTTGTTTCAGCAGTATAAAAAATTTTCTATTAGAAAAATGTGGTAGTAGCAAAAGAAATCCATAATTTGGCAAATATACATTCTACGAATAGTAGATAATTGTAGATTAGTAAAAGCATAGAACACACAAATAATCAATTGCAGCAGGAGTTTTAATTTTCCCCAACTTCCTTCTGAACGTTTTTTCTTCCACATTCCAGTGCAGACATCTGAGGTTCCATTTAACAGTTCATTTTTCTCTGGACTAACAGTTTATCATACTAGTCAATGTAGCCGTTCTAATTTAGCCTGTAGGGATTTAAAGTTTCCAATAGTGGTCTGCACTGTTAATGTAGGGCTCATAGACTGAAGTTCAACAAGGTAGCAACTGACAGCATCCAAACATACATTTGTGAATCGCCGTCTGTAAGGAATAAAAAAATTGTCAAGAACACTCACTTTTGCTAGTGTTTATTAAAATTCATCTAAGAAAAGGAACTAGGATTCCTTCAGATAATAATGAAATAATCTGTAAACAACAAACCCTGAATAAGCTAAGTTTAAATTTTCTAACATAGTTAAATGAAAAGCAGATATTTTAAATCTAATGTGTGTGACTGATGCATACAGGGGAATGTAATAAATCATTTATTCACCTAAGTTTTAATAATTGCAACAATTAAAAAAACAAAATTTGTAGCACTTGTCTCTTGAGGAGTGAAATATTTGTCTACATGATTTCTAGTATTGTTATCTATTAAATGAAAATAAATAAATAAATTTAGAAGTCATACTCCACTTCGGAATGCTTCAGAAGAACTAGGCTGACTTGTGAAGAAACAATGTTATTTTGAAAAATAACTAGTTTTATTTAATGAAATTTGACTTTAAAATGTATAAAGAAAAGCACATTTATGTATATAAAAAGGAACAGAGAAATTAT